CACTCCGGTAAGCCGAGCACTATTTCACACCCACGTCGAGTAACAACGTGATCACCTCGACCAGTGCAATCAACGTAGAAACCACGGATAAGATGAACAACTCTTCGAGCAAACGTCAAGTATGTCAGCCACCGGGATGGAGGAACGCATGACTGCCACTTCGTTAACTATGAGCACAACTGAATAACAAACATAGTCTTACTAATCGTGACCATGGTGACTGAGAAGGAGACTGTGACTCGTAATAGCCAGCATCGATTACCTGACGGAGAGCTATAAAAGGTAACAACTATCATACTACACAAATAGTCATTTCGCCCTCTTCAGAATCTGCCTTCCGTCAATCTCTTCCCTGTCGTCTATAGAATGGGCAAAAATGGAAATGAATCTTTCGCTAAAACGTGGGTAGGTTCACCCTGCCTCCCATAGTTTTTTCTTTCTCACATAGCCTTTACTACTCGTACCGTTGAATCCGTCGCTCCAACTCAGAATCCATCCTTACCAACGCATTCGCCCTATCCTAGAGCCCCCAAATAGCATCTCTCCCTCCCCGATTCCGTTGAGGAACGGGCAAGATATAGACTTCTCACGCTCGTTTTCTCCTCTCCCGACACTTTCTTCGCACTACATTTTTCCTTCTTCTCTAGTTCTACTAATCTAGCACTCAAACTGATCCCACCATTCGACTCGGAATGGTCACAAACCCCTAACATAAGTTTTTGTTTTGCTCAATTCCATAAAGAATCAATCGAAATTTCGATTCCTACTCCCGCCGTAGTCTTTTACTCTACCATTTTCGTGCACATCCTTTTTGCTCCCACTCTCTTTCTACTAACTTCCATGCAAATCGGACTTCACCATCATGATCGCCTTACCAAAGAACCCCGATCTAGAGTCTCGGTTTGCCCGATTTTGCCAAAAGATCGGTTAGGAACTTCATTCTTCTCTCTACTATACCTCTGCTTAGTTTTGCTATTGCCTTCTTTGTTTCAAATGAACCTGGCGTGATCCACGTTCAGGTTCTCCCGCTCGTTTTCATCGCGGCTCTCGTCCCCATTTTCTTCTGGTCTTGGTCGGTCGCCACCTTCGACTCTCGGCACAACCCGCCCCGAATTCGCTCTCTCGTCCTCACTCTTTCTCTCGATTAACATTGTGTTCCGACAACAACCGATCACGTAGCGTTCGTTTCCGATAGGACACGACAACTAAAAGTTGAAGGAAAAGACACAGGCGCCCAGACTCTTTTTGGTTTTATACACGCCATCCTTTTGCACGAACCATGCTTACCTTCCTTGTATCATCCCAATTATAACGGATGTCCCGAATGACAAATGCGGGCCGATAGTCCCGACTCCCCTTAAAGAGTCTTTCGCACCACTCAAGTACCACCCTATACAGTGAGTTACAATAATCTCCCCTGTATCGTAGGTCCCACGGAACGAACGAGTGACTACCCAGTATTGTTGCGTGCCTCCTAATAAGTTTTCGCTGAATGCTCCGCTCAAATAGAGTCTTCCCCATAGTACCCTGGGCCGCTTCGCCCCACTGAGCCTGGTTATGATTCACAATCTTTTAGGCTCCGACGGGCATGCTCTCTCTTCAAGTCTCTCACAGCAAACTACGGGCGACAGACTAGGCACCCGCAGTTGGTCCTCCCCACGGTTTCATCCACCTCGTGGGCTAACTCTCCGCCAACTCACATGCACGTTGACCCCCTTAACTCCTGTTTCAAGACGAGCCAGATAGAGAAGTTTCGTCAACATCCCGAATACTACGCGGAGATTCAAACGGGCCCACCAAAAAGAGGTGCGTGCTCAATGTTCTCAACCGCCGTGACGACCTAAAAACTTCGGCGCCACGTCTGAGCCAAGGAATGCTGGAACATAAAAACATAATAATAATAAAATAAAATAATTATTACGGAACAAAAGTCGTACAGCGAGGAGAAGGAAAATGCGGGGCTTATTAATACCGCCTTGGTGCCGACGCGCAACCCTGTGAACCGCAAAACCACGAGGATAGTCTTGTCGGGCGCTCAGCCCACCGGTTTTCCTCTCACTGCTACAATACTCCTGCGTAGTCATCCGCTCACCTCGATCCTTGAATCCTCCCGTTGAAAGTCCAACACCGTAACCAATAGTACTAGGCCCAAGGTTGAGTCTAGTACTAGCGGAGACCTATATACGCAGGTAGTGCGTGGCGCGCGGATCTACTGAAATGTTTCAAACCACACATCGGCCTATCAACCAACCTTATGGTCGTCATCCTTCTGCGTTCACCACGCGGTTATACACAACCGTGCTATCGTCAACGTCCTCTGTACGTACGCACGCGTCCCGGTCAAGCATATCAATCAAAATTAAAACATTTTTCAATCTTGGTTTGACTCAAATTTTTAGTCGACAACATACCAGCTGCATAATCATCAATGAAAAGAGGGATCACGTGCGCCTTAAGTTTATGAGTCACACACTATTTACTCTAGTCAATCATTTAGTCAGCGTAAACAAAAGACACAGTTGCGAATCGCTCGGTATACTCAAGTCTCAATTTAAACACATTTTTTCTATCTCTTGCAAAAAACAGGGCGGATACCCTTGTAAGGGTATTCGCACAGACAGCTTACCGGACCATATTAAGCAACATCCCCGCTGCTCCGCAAAATAAAAAAATTATCAGTTCATCCATAACCCAAAATGTTGACGAGAAAGGAACCAATCCGATTAACCGACAGACTCCGGTTCGAGACCTCCATCAATCCATGCCAAGCATGACTATATGCTGCCAGAATTTTAACATGGGTCTCCATTGTCCTATCACTAGGACGTCGGGATACGTACCACTATACTACAACATAAGTTTCAGCGACCCTCTCAATCGTCCTCTCCCCTTTGTCCTAGATAAATGTCAACTTCTCGTTAAATATCCCATTTAGTTTCCGTCCTACAAGCAGGGTCATAACTAGGGATGTGGGTCCTAACCGTATCCTTTGAAGACACTTTTGTCTCCCTCCAATAATTCTCACAATCAATTATACATATATACGAATCTTATCTTAGACTCTTCCAGCAGCCTAGTATATGAAGGTCAGACCCCCATCTTAGCCCATCATAATCTGGGTGATCGAGTCAGATTTATGGCCCATCGCGTTGTTATTGTAACGGTAGTGTCTTCGCTGGTTACACAACGATAGACCTTTTCCTGATAAACACTCAATCAAGACTACCAAAAAGACTCAATTGACTCAACTCTTATCCCTCTAACATCCCGCGGAAGTAAAACCCTCCGAGGCGGCCACAGCTTTTAAGTCTTTACATCTTTGGTGAGACGTGAGTCCGTTGTCAGGTTACGTCGATCAGCAACCAACACTAGGGGTTACGCCCTGGTGATGCTAAACTTTACCGTTAGGTTGGTATTCCTGTATATGCCTTAAGATTAACACAAGTGGTTGGACGGTGTGTCACAATAATACATACCTATTGAGGGACTACGCAAAGGTCTGTCACACATAAAAAACATTTACCAGTCCTTTGTGGGACAACAAAGGGAGCATGACATCCTCTCCACATTCACAAAACAGAATCACCGTCAGATTTGCAAGGTTGCGATCTCCTAACTTGGTCAGAGCAAGAAAGCCACACATCTCAATGACATCTCTCAAATGAACCATTTTTGCGACATCCCAACTCCACGAATAGAAAAAAAAATAAAAATCTTAGTCCTTCTTGTCAGTTTTATATCACACAAAATTTACTTTTCATGTCATTAAATATTTTAACCATCTTTCAGTCGAAGGAGGTCTCACTTATTATGTCTCCCATTCATCCCCCTCTCTCTAGTATGAACTTCCACACAACCTTTTTAAAACATCTTCTTCTTAAAGATGAGTCTCCAAATAAACGGTGATCATCTTCCCAAGTGAAGACGTCTCAACCATAAAACAACTCAACGCTGAGAGGCAAATTTGTGGGTCATCGTCACAACTTAACAATAAATATTTGACATGGCAAAGTATTCGAGCCTCAGAAGACTCATAAATCCATTGAGATTTTCATATCCTTTCACAAAAACAAGTTGCTCGTTCTCTCTTTATACCCAACCCTATCATCCGCCCCTGGGTAGGCCGCACAAGTATATCGAAGAATACACAGTTCACACATATTCACATTCACAAAGATGCAAGGTACGCGAGATGTCTCTAGTACATCTCCCATATAAAGCCATCACACGTCATTATAAAACCACATATGTGAGAGTGATCGTGATCGTCATACACAAGGGAATATTCTCAAGGATCTCAACTCAATATACAGTCAGGGATGGGGTATCCCATCCAAAACACAAAATGGTCCAAACGCATATACTAGCTTAAGATGAGCAAAAATCACTCCCAAAATGGTACAAATGTAACCACACTATCAACAATACGCTCAAAATCAAACGAATCCAACCCACAAGAGTTGAAAAATTGCCTCAGTGTACATACATCACACCATTGAATCCCAATTCCTAATCACCAATGAAATCCTCAAAGGTAATCATACATGCGAATTTCTATACGTACAGTTAAGCATCGTAGGTACTAAAATCTAAGAACAAAGGTAAAATAAAAACACACATCCTTGACTCGGATATGTACAGTCTCGAATCAATCTCAACCACCTCTACTGCCATGACTATCAATGGGTAGGCAAACCAGTCCCTACTCAATCATCTCCTCCTTGTTCTACATGTACAACTGAGCCCTGCCCCCATCAACTGATCGCTCTACCACTCGCTCGTGTCTATCATACATCTTTCCTCCACTTTATGTGACCTTTCGTGCTGCCTTGTCTTTGAGAAACTTAGGACACTCAGGGGCCCAATGCATGCCATCTCTGCAGAAAAAACAAAACTGATCAACCTTTCCCTTGAACTTCTTCTTCCTTGGTTGTGGTGAAGGTGATGAGGGGAGCCCTGCTACCTCATTGACGACCTCCTGCTGCTCTGATCCAGGGGCCTGACCCCTAGAACTAGATCCGGTAGCCCAAGATCCAGTCCACTCCTCAATTCGCCTATCTATGGGACGTACTCGGGGGTATCTAACCTCTGAGGTCTGCTCTCATGCATCTCTCCCGTCAGGACCATTGACACCTCCTCACGAACTGCCTCCACCCTTCGGTCGGGTATAGGTGTACTCACCCCCTCCTGCATAGTGCCGAGTGCTTCCAAGAGCACATCCATAGACCCTTTTGTTGATCCCTGAGCAGACTCACTTTCTTCGGCTGACACTGGCAAGGACTCCGCTACTGACTCTTGAGAGGCTATAGGCTGACTGGCAAGCTCTGTAGGCGTCTTGAACTCAAAGGCCTCCTTTTCTGCCTCCCTTTTCGTCCTTGCCTCCTCTGGCTCCAGGATGACCTTCCCAATGGATAACTCATCGGAAGGCCCTGTCGTAGACCTCTGTCCAAAAAGTCCCTGCACCACCTCACCCTAGATGTCATAGTGACGACTCTAAGTCCAATCTACCACCGTGGTAGATATCTCTCTCTCAATCCTCGCCGCCATATCCTGAAGTTGCTGTCTCATGGCCTGCATGGTGCTGGTCTGGCTAGCCATCTGTGCCCTGAGCTCTCGGACCTCCGCCCCAAATGCCTCCAAACGCACAGTTAGGTTTACTTCCTTTGACTTCTTTCCAACTAGATCATCTTCCAATATCAAGTAGCTTTGGAACGAGGTCTTAACTAGAAAGTGGAGTCTCCGGTCCAAGTTTTCGTCCATCGCTCTCGATGTATCGGGTTCTGCTCTCACTTACCCTCCCAATCCCTTCAGGTCCTCCCTCGTGGTGCGGGGTGTCCTCCAACTCTCTGTCCCCAATAATCCTCCCACATCTCAGTGGCACTGAGTGCCTTAGGCTGCATATCCGGTGGCTGGTCTGGGAGAGCTCTGGTTGCCCCCAACCTCTCCCTTTCCTGCCATATCTCATCCAGACGCTTACCCGTTCTGGCCCGCTTCTCCTCAACCGTCTCTCCTGGAGGTGCCCTCATTCCTGTCCTGCGAACTTCCCTCACTGGGACCTCAACCCTCGCCTCTCTCTCCGCGTGGGGTGGCTCCTACAGTGGCTCAGTAGGTGCAAGCTCTCCGATATCAGGGTATTCCTGGGCATATGCTGCCAGATGTCTGTTGACAAAATCATGGGCCTCACTCCTCCAATCTGCCCTCTGTCGCTCCATCTCCTCTCTTACCCTAGGTGAAAAGGTCATATCTGGAGGAAATGATGGGATCTCTCGAGACTGAAGCCCCTCCTTGGCCTCATGTGTACCCTCTGGCTCTGGCTCAAGTCCTGCTCTGGAGCAGGCGTCTGAGGAGGAGTATCCTCCCCCACCTCAATTACATCCTTGGCACACTGCTCAACCCGGACCCCCGACTCTGCCTCTCACCCCTGTCTCTGAGCCTCCTCCATCGGTACATTCCCAGCTGGCTCACCACACCCCACGTCTGTCTGTGGACCCTCCAGTGTGAAACATCCAAATGTGCCTCCAAACTCTGTAGTGGTCCTCCCAGTGGTGCCATCTCCTCTATACTTGGCGCACATGGCAGAGACTCTCATAGCTCTCCCTCGGTGTAGCGCTGAAATATCACTGGTCCAAGCCCACACTCGGGGTACACCCCCTGCTCCTTAGCACGTGGTGACGACTCCTCATCTCGCCTAGCGAGCGCCTTTCGTCCTCCTCGAGTTGGGATAGCCTCCCTAGGCTCAGGGTCCCTCTGCCTCTTACTCCTTTGTCTCCTTTCGACCCTGGGCTGGGGTGGCTCCTGCTCTGGCCGCCGAAATGCCTCTTTCATACGTGCTCTGCAGCCCTCCCAATCTCGAGCCCTGTCTTGGATCTGCTTGGTCAATGGTTTCTCAGCCTTTCTGCTCCATAGAGGTAGCGTTTGCACCCACTCATCCCTCAATATGCCATGTTCGTGCATGAATCAATCGAAAACAAGGATAAACTCCTCCACGGGCACGCCATCTGACCTCACTGGTGAAGGCCTCAATCCCTGCATCCTCACCTCTACCTCTTGCCAAGTCTGAGCCTCCCAGCGGATCCGCGCGATGGGCTCCTCAAATCGACCTGCTCCTCTCAATCTTCGTATCATTTCTGATACGGTCCATCCCCTCTGTCTCGCAAAACCCTGGAAGTTGTTGAGAAAGAGCTTTGTATCCCCATCGTCGTATATAGGCGTGTGCTCCCTCGTATAAGACCCATGCCGCCCATATCCTCATGATGCCCCTAATTATTTTTGTGGTGGCCGTGTCCCCCTCCCTCCTCTCGACATGATTGTCTTCGTAAAGTTAGACCTGCACAACAGGCGAAGGAGACGACAAACACACAAAGGGGTAAGCAAACAGGCGAATATCGTAACTTGGGTCGAATCAAACACACACATCTTGCTCATGCATCCTATCTTCCTCGATCCCCTTTGAGACTTAACTATGACACTTACTATCTAGATGAGGTCCTATTTAGAGTACTCATTGTGCCACAAACTTTTTCAATCTTGTTCTTGACACTCAGTCCTTCCATTCCGTGCCATTTAACTCTTCAATTTGGTAGGCTCCAAAATCTCCATATCACACAATCCGATATGGCCCTAGCCATCGTTTGTCAAGCTTCCTAGACCACTGCTTCTCTAGAGATGACTTGTATAGCAGTACGACATCTCCCACTGCCAAAGGTGCCTTTCGCACGAGCGCCAACTGATCCCATCAAGCCTTGTCTTCCATACGGCTCCTCTCCTCCTGGTTAGACGTCTGTTGAATCCTTTCCTCAATGACTCATACTTGCCGTGCCTGAATATCGAGCAGTTCCTCAAATGAGAGGTTGGTTTCCAGATCCTGACATCTCCAAGTCTTTAGAAAGCTCTCAATAAGAAATGCGGCGTGCCTTCCATGCCACAATGTGACAAACACATATTTGGTGTTTTTTTTTTATAGTGACATTCTCGACAAAGAAAGGTTGTCCTTAAGTATCGAGGCCACTGATTGGGCCTACCCTCTGTCCATTCAGCAAGGAGGTTCGTGATGATACTGTGCATCGAGTGAAATGATATTGGTCACTCGATAATCTTGTCTGTCTTCTTCACATCCGGATGACAACCATTCTCGTTATAGACGAACCCGAAGATGGTAACCTTTGTCATGCAATGTCAGGATTTGGCCTCACTCGCCGTAAGATTATGTTCTTCTAGTAAACTCAGGACTTTATCAAGGTCTTGAACATGCTTTTAAACAAAACACCTTATTCCAGACATAACTTCATCTTCTTCCTTCTCTTTCGACCCTTTCACTACCAAGTCATCGATATATGGTTGGGTGATATGTGGACTGACGGTCTGCAATTTCTGCGCATGACTCAGATAATTCGTCCGCGTTTGGCAATTCTCCCACATCTCGCACGGTTACAAGGTTTAATCGCTGTAAATCCTGCATCCATCGTAGCGTCTCATTAGGCTTGATAAAGCAAAACCACAGGGATGTATGTGGTCCCCTGGAGTAGTCGGCAACGTGCGTCCACGTTTTGCCATCTACCACTTTCTTCTCTTCGTCAAGATTAGGGTATCGCGCGCCTCTTAAGTTCTATGGTTCGTACGATATGGTATGGATCCGGATTATTGGAATCTTGTCCACGTTTAACCTTCCGCATTGATCGTCATCGAAGGCGTAAGCGAGATGCCTCTTCTTCATTAACTCCACCAATAAAACCTTCTCCTGGGGCAAAAGGAAACCATGTTCCCACGTTATCAACTTTTTATTCTCGTTGTTGATACGACATGGCCATTCGCCGCTTGTTCCCGCATCTGCCGTATTAACCCTCGTTCCCGCTCATAGTGAGCTTCTTCATCTTCTGTGACAAGAACGGGAACTGGGCGACACTTTTTGTCTATTGTCTTGTACCACCTTTGGGAACCCTGCTTGAACCGTCCCCTAAAAAAGACCAACTTACATTTTGCAGTTGGGTCACCGCAGGGTCCCTCCTCCCTTCTGAAAACCGACAGATTAATTTCACTTCTTCCACTTGAGGGTTTTTCAATACTTATTTTCTGAACGCCCGAATAGCCTCCGGATCTGTGATTTCGTGGGCTGCCACCAAATCCTTATTGCAACCGATCTTATTTTTTGACATATCCATCGTGTGTTTTCACATGTTAAAGGGGACCATACCCAAATTGATTATAACTTGGAAGAAAGTAATCGAATTGCTAGATCAAGCGATATATCTTGATTTCGACTGGTAATGCAACGATCATCTTTTACTATACAGTCTGCTAGAATACGACCAATTAATTTTTGTTGCACATATAGATAGATATTCATTTTCGATTCTTCTATAAAAGGTTGAATTGAAATACAATTATTAGTTTTACAATCAGTTTTCCGCACTACTATATGTTGAGCAACGTCTACTAATCTTCTAGTAAGGTATCCTGAATCCGAAGTTCTTATTGCAATATCTACAACACCTTTTCTTGCACCATAACAAGATATAATATATTCTGCTAAAGAAAGTCCCTCTCTAAAATTACTTTGAATAGGTAAATCGGCACCTTAGCCCCTCCTTCCTCCTCCGGTTCTTCCAGAAGCCTTCGCCGGTCGTTCTCAGATTCTTCAATTGTGAACGAGTCGGGGTTGGATTGATTCCTTATACTCCTGGGTCCGGTGTTCCGACAGGTGACAACTTCATAGTTCCAGATCATCGTGTCATCGTGCTTATTGAAGACCAGGGAAAACCTTGGGAAGATCGACCTTCCATTTCTTTACCTCCTCGCACATTTCTACTAGCTTGTGCTGGTATGTTCCCATCTTTCCCCACAAGTCTTCCATCTTGGCCAGGAGGACCGACATAAACTTCATTCCTCCTTCCAAGCCCTCCTCGTCTGATTCAATGACTATGGGTTCTTCCTTTATAATGCCCGCCTGTAGCCATTGAGTTAGCTCTTCACCACTTTCCACCTCTTCCACCCTTATTGGTGGGTCCTCCTCTTGCCACAACCAGAACATGGCGGGTGGTGTCTTTGGGTTGATGTCACCCCAAACTGATCATCTATATCACCCTTTATCTTTGAAGATATCAGTCCGTCTCTCTCATCGTCTCGCCTCTGTTGGCAGCAACGCAAAGTGTGACCTTGTTTGTCGCAATGTCGACAAATAGCGTTCCGCCAATTGAAGCGAGGCCTCCCATACCCTTGACCCCTTTTCTGGCTACCTTGACCACCCTGGTCCTGATTACCCTGGTTCTTCCATTGACCACCTCGGCCTCCACCATTCCTACCTCTTCCTCTTCCGCCGCCCCTGCCTCCATTCCCTTGATTACCTTGTCCTTGATTCCCTCCTTCATCCATGCTAGCTTGCGAATCTTGTTGAGCAGGCGGTGGAGGTGATGTCGTTGGCTGGGCTTGAACTGCTGGATAGCTTGGCGGTGCTACACTCGCTGGAGGCCCCGAATAAGGTACTACCTGACCAGGCGTAACTTGACGACCTGTTCCCCATGGCACATAGGGGCCAAATATAGGTCAGGGGCCCACTGAACCATAGGGCAGACATTGTCCATATGATGGTGGCCCTGCTTGTTACGGCCCTGTGCTGGTTGTCGGTGCTGCTATATTTGGCGAGGTTGCTGCCAATGCTTGAGGCGCTTGCCCTTTCCCGGAACCTTGCCCCCTTTGTGTCAAATTGCACTGCTTACCCTGCGCCTTTAGAAGGTGTTGGGGCACTGACTCCTCGTCCCATTCTTCCTGGGCAACCTCCTCCACTATCGATTCCTTTCCTTTTCCCTGAACCGTGGTCACCACCTTTTTCGGCACTACGGGGTCCTTTCCATAGCCCAGCTCCGCAAGCACATCCGTGATGATTCGCTTTACTCCTGGAGTCTCCGTAGCGGTCGCATCACGCTCCTTCCGCTTTTGCTTGTGAACGCGCATCTGGAATTGGTGGACCTGGTCCACATCGCCTTTCTCCACCCATTTATCAATCGTGGCCCAGGTAAGTTTTTCGCTGCCCCCACCTCGCTTCGTCAACTCCTGGGCTTCTCAAGAATTGAACATTCCCAGGAAAATGGCACATTGTTCCTCTTATGAAGTCCTTGGGACCTTCCTCACCTTCTTCTTGAATTCTTCAGCAAGAGCCCCGACGGTGGTGAAATCGTCCCTGTTCATTGCCTCCAAGCCCGCTGTCGTCAGCAGACCATTCCCCAATTTGAACTTCCTTTGCATACCATCCTTGAACCTCACCCAACTGTCATTCGCTGCCGCTATGACCTTGTTCACTTCCTTGTGAAGTCCATGGTATACGTACTTCATAATGCATTGGAACTTCACTGCATCTGCTACACCTACCATTGCCTGCTCAACCAGTTCCATCCAATCAGAGACCCGCTCCGCTTTAAACAGAAAGGTCTCAACCTTGGGAATGTTGCTCTGCGCAACCAAGTCATCGATCATCAGCTTGTTTCCCACACCATCAGCTACGTCTTCCGCCATCTCAGCTGATCTCCTGATTCAACCGTCCCTGTTAAGAAGGAGTAATACTTTATTCAACATGCCAACCTATCATCATGCTAACCTCATTTCCTACTCATTCATACTACGCTCCAAAAACTTCTCTGATACCGCATCTTTCTCACCTAGACCTACCTTCGTTTTCATTACAAAACTTCGTTCTTATTCTAAACGAACATAGCCTCTTAGTCCTTGCAAGCTCTATAATAGTTAAACAGACAACCAATCAAGTCAAGTAATAACAATTCATTAGCAATATTGACTTATTTAGATCATTATCCCACCCTTAACCCGAGTCCGATCTTTGAAGGCTACTGAGTTTTCAAACATTTTCAACCAATAGTCAAGATATCAAGTAATTAACTTTACAAGCTTAAAAAGAACCCTCTCATTTTGCCTATTTCTCACTATACCCAAACCCGAATGTCATTACACAAAGGACAACGGTAGGTAACCGTCATCCCCAACAACGGCGCCACCTGTCGAGCGCATCGGTCCCACAGGGGGACCCTTCCGGCCACGTCACGCAAGAGTTGGTCAATATCGCGATACAAATGGAACTTCCGCAGCCGCTCCGGTCGAGTGCGTCAGCCATACCTCTCGTGAACCCCTACAACAGGATAGGGCTTACGCGAGGTACAACTTACCTCGACCTGCGGGAGCTGTCACCTCCCTTCGGTGGGCGTATCCCCGCCGAGCTACTAGCCCACAATACGAAAGTTAATCATTTGCAATCGCAGAGGTGAGCCAACCGATGACATTTTTGGTACGTTGTAGCATTGGGGGTACGTGTGGTCCCACGCCTCTATCGGACCCCTACACGAACCGACGCATTGGGGGGCTGAAGTCCCAAGCGCGACTCTTCATCGACCGACTAGGACGAATCTCACTCACCACGCATTACACCACACTTTTAAAACATAAAATTAAAAACACACTCAAACAGAACACAATAACACTCCTGGTCCCTTCAGTATCCAACCCATAACCTTTCGATGCGGAAATCGGCTAGGCGATGCGTGTGAGACTTAATATAAAACCGTGCGGACGCATGAACTTCTCGTATCGACTAGCAATGCAAGTTTACGCAGGCGGTTGCAATGATGGCGTATTATGTAGTACCCATAATCATGCGTTCCTCGATAACCTCGAGGGTCGCGTTTGACACTAAAGTGTCAACTGACACGCGCCTTAAGGGGTTAATCTCTCGGCGCTAGACAACCGCCAAGGGCGGTTGAGAACCACACCCTCTTTTGTGCCCTGCAGAGAGTAGGTGGTACACAGGTTCATACCTGTGGTGGCAGTCGTTTTTTATCGCCCTGGAGACCAACTCCATCATCTTGGGCCTGAAGAAAAGTCAAGGGGTTTGACTTTGACAGCTGCCACGGACAACAACGTCCAACTATCAAAACTCTTAAAAGCAAAAGGTAAAAAAGGATCTCTCTTTTCTCTCGAAACAATAATATGTTTAAACTTTACGCACCGTCACAGTAGGTTGCGCGAATGGTCAAGGTATATGTATGTACATATATAAGAAGGGGTATATAATAACTTTTGAGTGTGAAAAATGGTTTATGTCATTTATCATCTTATTATGTGTGTTTTATTTTATTTATTTATTTTAATTACTGTTTGATGACTGCTTGTTAGGGAGTTTGCATGTTGGGATCATGCTTGGTCTTTCGGGGAAATATTGTTGGATAAAGCTCTGTGGCAGGCTATATCTTATTTGGAGTTGGAATTTCAAAAAGGGGGACAAAGATCATTCTTTAGTAAGCCAAAAGAAAGTTTGGGTAAGAGCAAGCATTCTGTTTCTTTCTCTTGAAAAATTACTAATATACCAGTCAACAGACATCACAATGGAAGCGTATATTTCTTCCCCACTGCCGACATCCAGTGACTTGTTTTATGAGATCTTTCAGACATCATTAGTGTCGATCTGTCAGAGTCAATTCATTACTCAGTCAAGGTTAACTATCATTCAAGTTTGGCAGGGTCATCATGGGAGGTGTTGAGATTGGTTCTAGTACACTTCTTTACCCCTGAGTACGACGCAGTTTTATCCAGTCAGCGAGTCAATATTGTACATTCTCTGCCAGATCACCTCAAGTCAGCTGCCACCTTGGCAATCAGATTTCGACTCAGCGTTTGATCAACAGTGGCGTGCAGCCCGCTTTGAAGTTCAACTGTTACTATTAACGTCAACGACCTTGAGACTGAGTAGTTTTCCACTTTGAGTGTGGAGCTCACTATAACCATCTGCGATCTATCATATTCACTGTCTGAGACTTAGGGCGAGGCAAAAGTCGTAAAAGAAGATGTGGTTCTCGTGATACAGGTCAAGCAGAGACAACGAGGGATGAGAAAGTAAGCTCCCGTTTCCACGGGGGCGCATCGCTTCCGGGAGCGCTGCGCCCCGCCGGGTTGGCACTCTCACGTGGGAAGCCCGGTGACGCCCTACAGGCTGGAAACATGCGAGCGCGAAGCGGCGGCTGGGTATGACGTAGACAATTTTAGTGTGTCGGCACCTTGGTGATGGGGTTGTAATGAAGTAGAGATCGGACAACAGGAGGGCAGGAGAATGGAGCGTGACTCGGTGTTGCCTTCCTTTTGAAAGCACTTCGGTACCATCTCCAGCTTTGCGCTTCATCCAGTGGTGTTACAGGTTAGCACGTTGGGTGAAGGGGAACTTGCCTTCGACATGAGGTGGGTCTCCTTGAAAAGTTCAACCTTCTTATGGCTTCTGCTCCTTGGTCTGCATAGTGTTGTGGTAGGCGGTTGGTATGGCGCGGACGGAAAGGAGGAGCGCGTGCTTACGTGGAGCGGGAGGAGGATTGGAGGCGATGTCGAGTACATTGATTTCGTTTTTTTTTTTTTACATCTTTGTCATCGACGATACTCTCGCTGATCACCACCGGCACCAGCATCGGAGTCATTATCATTAGGGCGTGATTTGATATCATCATCACGGTAATGTCTTGCCATCATTAGGTCGTTGCTCGTCATCACCATCATCAGCATTAGGGTACTGCTCGTCATCATCATCAAGGCGTATGTCTTCACTCCTGTCCGGTTCTAATATCATTGCTACTATCTAGGAGTCGTGCATCACGGGAGCGACTCACTATTGTATCACCATCGTCAAGTTTCTCTCCACCATACGGCATGGGTGGCAAACTTGACGTCATCATAGGGCTTTACTCATCATAATCATCATCATCATCATCATCATCATCATCTTTAGGTTATTATCCAAGGAGTTCGTCATTACACCATCATCATCGTAGTCATCATAGGGCGCTATGCGTCATCATCCTTACCATCATCATCATCATCATCATCATCTTCATCATCATGATCATCATTATCAATATCACCATCATCATCGCTATCATCATTACTATCATCATCATCATCATCATCAGTTTGTAATCATAAGGGCTGTTGGTGGTGCTCTTTAGTAACATCAGCATTATCTTTCCGTTTTTCATCCTCATCATTATCATCATCATCATCATCATCATCATCAGCTTGTTCTCAATTAGATGTTGCTCTGCATCAACAGGTGAGTTGGTTGTCACCATTATTCTCTTTATTATCGTCAGGGTGTTGTCCAGCGTCACCAATAAAATCCAGCAAAATCCAAGCGAATGATATTTTGCTAAGTGTGTCATCAATAACTGTAGTCGATTGGATCGGATTGTTTCCAGAGGGTTGAACGGTGGGAAGGGGGTGGGGGGAGCTCTATCCTGCAGGGGCATCGCAAGGTGGGGGGTGAATGTCTCAAAGAGGGTAGGGGCGGAGTAGGGGGTTGCCTTATTTTGGGGCAGGAACTGTGGGTGGGTCCATCAGTCCCTGCGGAGGCGGAAATGGGCAAGGGGTGCAGGTGGGAACTGCGTGCTCCTGGGGAAAGGGTGGGAGAGGATTGGTCCTATATTGGGGCCGAGGGAGAGTGAGTAATTCTCCTCGGCGGAGGCAGTATAGGGCTGAGGGGGAAGGGGGAGGGGGAGGGAGGGGCGATCTCTCTTGAAGAATCATCTAGTTTACTATAACTTTCCATTTAGTTGCCTCTCGAGGAGGTTATAGGAATAGGTGTTATCTGACAAGCCATCTGTGATCCTGCGCGGGGTGGTTAAAAAGTCGGTGGCCCTCGAAGACCGATGCTGGAGCAACGCTGGCCGGAGCCGTAGCCAGGTGGCGCAACTATGTGACCTAGCTTAGTGGGCGCGTGAGGCCTGGTAGAAAGCTCTGGGGGGCTGTTTGCGAGGGCAGTCCCAGTGGTCATCGGGGGTCGTAACTGGAGCAAGGCTGGCCGGTGTTGGAGCAAGTGGTGCAACTCTGTAACCTAACCTGATGGGAGCATGAGGCCTGAAAGAGCTTCGATTCGTGCTAAAATTAACCATGCTGGTGGTGGTCGTAGGGGGATTGAATAGGTTTCACCTATCTGATTCGTGATGGGGAGGCTTATTGACACACATATTTTTTTGACTTGGTAGAGTCTGAATGGAAAAAAAATCAGTTGTTCTTATGAATGTCTTAGGACTTTAGGGTTTCTTAACAATCCATCTTAGGCAGTTTTGATGCTGTTATACTCAATGATATGTGGTTGTTCGATGCCAAAACGACGCTGGTCGGTGCTAGGGTGTTGCCCTATAACGTGCTAATGCAGGAGTGTGAGGCCTGGTAGAGAGATCTGGGGATGCTTTGGGGTGGGCATCGCAAGGGACGACCAAGGGTTGCTGCTGGGATGACGCTGGTCGGAGCTGGGGCGAGTTGTGTTGCCCTGTAACCCAGCGGGGTGGGGGCGTGAGCAGTGAATCTCCCTCGGCGGCGGCTATCCGCGGCCGATTCCGCAGACGCGGCCAGTCCGCTGACCCCGCGGACGCGCGGGAAGGACTTTCGAAAAACGGAAGACGCCATGTGGCGGCGCATCCCCAGCCTCACCCCCCCCCACAAAAAAAAACGAAAAAGATGAACTTTTGGATGGGGGGGTATGGGCAAAATCGAACGAAATTGAAAAAAAAA